CCCACCACTCCACTAGGGCAGCAAGCTCCACAGATCCATGCCAAGCTGAGTTCTGCTGTAACAACTTGCCTACAAATTTACCCAGTTTGAACTCAGCTGTGAAAAGTGAGTTCACAAAACATCACAATCACCTATAACAAATGTTGATAGGAAAGGTGAAAGGAGACAGAAAGAGTTAGTCCAAAAGAAGAGGTGCACTGATATAACTAAAACAGTGTTAAGATCATTCCCTGGTAAACATAGTAATTAGCCTGGATATCCATGAACCATAACTGGTGTCAGAAGTCAGGCCTCCAGTATTTCATGGACAAAGTAATGGAGAAATAGGTTATTCCATCCACATGCCCTTCTGCTATCCTTAAAATACTCTTGAGGAAAAAGTTGGAAGAGGCTACCTTGGCACTAGCTAACAGACAAGAGAAGTGTAATGTGTGAACTTCACTGTCATGGCTGTCACTCCCACCATCTCTGGGGATCTTCTGACCTTCATCCTAACCTGGAAGATGTCCTGACTAGAGTGGGTCAGAGAGAGGGACTCAAACACTGCTTCCTCCATGTCAACTAAACCAATGCCCTTATAGCTTGATGAGGATACAAGCTGCCGCTAGACTTGCTCAACAAGACCACGTGCCATGCCTGTGTTTCACCAGCACTTAGGTTGCAAGTGAAAGTCAACTTGCAACAGAAGCTGCATTTTCTAATTTTGCTTTTATTCTCTCCCCTGGCCTGTTTGTCTTGTTCTGTTTTGGAAACAGGATCTTGCTTTAGCAATGACAGCCCTAGCCTAACTAATGTTTCCTTCCCACCCAAGGGCAGTTTTCTTTAATACCATGTAAGAGACTGTCACAGGGTGGTTAGATCCTAGAAACTCTACAGATAAAGATGAGCAAGGGTTGCTGTTAAAATATTTAAAAGCCTTTAACATGTGAAGTATTAACTGCTTTTACCTTTTCTGTATTTGTAATAGGTTTAAAGAATGGCGATTGTATTAACATCACAATACCAAGCAAGGTAGGTCTACGCAATGCCCAATCCAGACTAGGGATATAATAGTGTAGTAGATAACAGATAAGCAAAAGCTATAGACTTAATATAGATTAATGCTATAGACTACACACATTTCCCTCTCCCTGGCAGTAATTTTTTTTTTTAGCAGGCAGGCCAGCAGCCTGGATCAGTCCTGGGTTGTGATGGGTCTGGGACCTATCCCTGCTGCGGCTCTGCATTTAAAATGCATTAGGAGCTGGGCAGGTAGGCAGCTCACTCAGTCCCGGCTCACACTGGGTCCGGGACCTACCCTCATTTCAGCTGTGCATTTCAAGTGTAGTAAGAGCCAGGAGGGCAGGCAGCCTAGTTCAGGTCTGGCTCACACCGGGTCCAGGAGTTCAACCCTGCACTGCTGTCTCTCAGAAGCAGCAGCACAGGGCGACAGGCAGCCGGTCCATGAGGGAAGCTTTTTTTCAAACTGTCTCCCCTCGTGGACCAGCTCCCATTTGGCACCCCACACTGCTGCTTCTAATACAGCAGCTGCTGGCCTTGCCCCCAGGGACTATAGAATAGTTAACTAACCGATAAAATTTCATGAGGTTACCCGACAACTCAATTAACCGATATTTAACATACCTACGAGGGATATTAAAAAGTGTTAATTTTGGTAAATGCATACCCAATGAAATTTTCAGCAGGGATATATTTACACATGGGGGGTGGGGGTGTCAGCTCTGCTAAAGTCATGTGTGCAGGGAGTTGCTTTTAATATGGCTCCCCCCAACTATGTGCCAGCTCCCACTTGCCCCCTATGCTGCTACCTCTAATAGATACAGCAATATGGACGTGTGGGGGGTGGGGGGGGGACAAGGGCATGTGGGTTAGATGACTGTAGGAGCAAGTGCTTGCATGGAGCCTGCTTAAAAGCCTGCTCCTTGAGAACACTGGCTCCTACCTGTCCCCCCCTTCTGCCTCTGATACAGAGGCAGCAGCGTGGAGGTCTGCATGTAACATGAAGGTTAACTTATGAGGTCAGGCTCATCAGTTATACATTTACACTATCGTATCCCTAATCCAGTCCCTTGTTTACCACTGTTTAAGGTTGGACAGTGACTGGGTTGTTAGCACCTTTAGCCTATACCATTTCATCAAAACTGACAGTTCTGCCCTGCTCCTCAGCTACAACACCCTCTGCTGCCTTCAAGTGTCCACAGGCAACCCCTCCACTTTTGATATCTTCTCAGGGCTGTGTAGTCAGCAGGAGCTCACCCTGCACACTGGAACCTAGCTGATGATTCTGTCCAACAGGCAAGCTAGGAGAGAACCCTGCTTCAGCACCAACATCAGCACGGGGTGCTTTGCTCTGCTGGATAAATAGCAGGAGAGGGGGAGAGCAGAGAGATTACTGAAGGCCACAGTGGCCAGGACTAGCTAAGATCTACAAACTGGAATTGTCAGCAGGAGCTCACCCTGCACACTGGAACCTAGCTGATGATTCTGTCCAACAGGCAAGCTAGGAGAGAACCCTGCTTCAGCACCAACATCAGCACGGGGTGCTTTGCTCTGCTGGATAAATAGCAGGAGAGGGGGAGAGCAGAGAGATTACTGAAGGCCACAGTGGCCAGGACTAGCTAAGATCTACAAACTGGAATTGTTGGACAGCCTTTCCTCTGGGTGTTGCGGGGGGGGGGGGGGGGGGGGG